AAGAATTGGATTTGAATTGGCATGCATGTGAGAATTAGGGGAAAGGGGTTTTCTTATTGCTTTGACTATATTCAAACAATAGTATAGGTGCTAAGTATAGGCTGTAAACAACATAGCTCACAGGTGTCATGAGCATTACCCTGGCTTCCCCATTTGGTTTCAGATTTGTTTGCAGGTGTCAATCCTGATTTTTAAAGTTCCCATTGAACTAGACTCAGGTGACACAGGAGACCACCTAACTCTATGTGCCCAGATAACTAAGATACTGTGTAGGACCAGTTATGCACTCCATGTCAGACTGGATCCCGTTCCATGGCTAGATTTCTGGCTCATTCTAGTACAGCACAAGGGAAATGTTGCAGTGGCTCCAAACAGATTAAAAATTACAGGGTTTAAGTAATTAAATATAAAATTTAATAACAAATTGATGCAATGGCCATTCTCATGTTCAGCTTATTTTATGTCATTGACATTTTTGGTTTCCATCTTTTTCCTTGACTGAAACAAAAATATCTCTATTCTTAGATTGCAGACTGAGGCAGAGAATACCTCTCTACCTTTCCTCACATGACGCTTGGTTCGTGTTGAGGTTTTCTTCATGGCTACAACCATATTGTTCACACATGCACATGAAAGCTTAGCTTCCAGGGCAATTTTCTGGCTTGAGATGTTTTCTATAGCAAATGCTGTTGTGAAAGAATAAGTGAATGCCATCCAACATGAAAAAATACAGAGGTGTGCAGGTCTTATTTTGGGTTGACAGTGCCCACAGAGTAATAAGCCAAGCCTCTTTTTTTTTTTCAATAGAAGACCCTTAAGGCATAGGACATCCTGAAGGGCACAGGAGCTCAGGTCCTGTGTCCTTCAAAGCACACAGCAACACTCAGCCTTTGCACAAGCCCCCACATCATAGGAAAGTAGGACTGGAAGGGACCTCACTAGCCCATCTATTTTACCTCCTGCTCACTAGCCCATCTAGTCCAGCTCCTGCCAACCCCACACCCAGAATCCCAGGCAGCTGCCCCACCCCGCCGAGGCCCCCTCCCCACCACTCTGGTGTCACACAGGGCCCAGAGCAATGCCCCAAGCCAGCACTGCTACCTGCTGCTTGCAGCACCTGTGTGTGGATGTGGGGTGCCCCCTGACCACAGCGCCCTGTGCGGTTGCCTGCATTGCCCACCCCTAAGGCTGGCTCTGTGCCCAGGGATGGAGATCCCAGTTTCTCTAGGCAGCCTGTTCCCATGCCTGATCACCCTCATAGTCAGAAGGTTCCTCCTGGTCTCCAGCCTAAATATCCTTGAGGTCATTACACTGCATCCTGTCCCCATCTGCTACAAGAAAGCCCATGTCTACCTTCTCTATCAAGCACAGTCCTATGCTTGCCTGGCAAGGGAAACAACATGACCACTGAGGCAGTCTTCCTAGCTGCACCCAGGGAAGACTGCTCTTCTGACACGGGGATAGTACCTGCTAAGGTAATTTATAGTAAACCTCCCACTTAGCTGCTGCAGTGGGAAGGTCTT